ATCCTTCCCCTCCCCCCACCTCCGTGACGCCAGGGTCGCACCGAACTGGTGCATCGAAGATGTGGTCACCCGTACTCCCAGCGGCCAGCGGGACTTTGGGGGGAGGGTTCCCCGTTGCGTTCGGAGGGCGTCCGCCGACCTGAAGGGGTCCTCCAGTTCCTTCACTTCCTCCCTCCCCCCCGGCAGTAGGGTCGCACCGAACTCGACATCCGTCCTCCCTGCGGCCGGCGGGACCCTCGGGGGAGGGGGTCTGCGCACGGAGGGCGTCCGCAGTCCTGAGGGTTGCCTCCGTTCTCCTCCTCGCCCTTCTGTGCTAGCCAAAGGGTCGCACCGAACTGGTGCATCGACGGAGTTAGTCTCTGTTCTCCTTGCAGCCGGCGGGACCCCTGGGGGAGGGAATCCCGCGGCGCAGGGAGAGCATCCGCTGACGTGAGGGGTTCCTCTGTGTCCTTCCCTCCCTCCCATCGCCCTGGCAGCGGGGCCGCACCGAACTGGTGCAGCGACAGGGTCTGCTTCCGCCCTCCCTGCAGCCGGCGGGACTTGGGGGAGGGGTTCCCGCAGCGCACGGAGGGCATCCGCCGTCCTGGAGGGGGGCCTCCGTCTCCTTCTCCTCCTCGCCCTTCTATGCTGCTCGGCGTCTTGGGGGTTTCCGTTCTCGGGTCCGCCTGCTCCTCGGCGTCTTGGGGGGGTTTCCGTTCTCGGGTCCGAAGAGGTGTCCGTGGCGGCCGTGGCAGGGTCGAGCAATTACCTCGGTGGGTTCGGCCGCTTCTTCTGGGATTCCTCTGGGCTCCCCCTGGGGTCCCCGCCCTGTCGGGCCGCTGCCTCGATCGTCGCTGTCACAGGCGAGGATGTGGCGGCCGAGCCCCACTGACTGGCTGGGAGCCGCTCCCTCGGGGGTTCCGTTTGGATCGTCGGTGTTCTGAGAAAGTGCGTCAGCGCCAGGTCTCTGAGAATGTTCGCAGGCCCGCAGGCCGCGAACGTTCTGAGGACGAGACCAGCACCCTGGGTCAGGACTTCCTCCGCACTCCACCCGATCCGTGGGATTCCTGGAGCGTGGGCCCCCGACCAGGTGCCGCCCCGCAGGGTCCGTGTACCGGGCCACTTGGCATCGCTCGGACGTGTGTATTTTTCTTTCGGCGAGGACCATCGAGGAGCATCCTTGATGATTTGGCGAAAAAACCACGCACGAAACCGAAAAAAGCACAGGGAATGGACGTCCGAGCCATGGCGAGGCCGGGCGGGGCGCCATGCGCAGGGGCGCCGCCGGGAGCGGGAGCGCCGGGGCAGCCGGGGGGCGCGGTGGCGCGGTGGCGCGCGGCCCGGGGTCGGGGACGGGGCCCGCAGCGTCGGGCGCCTCCTGTGAGCGCATGAGACCCCGAGGAGGGGGCCGCTCGCGGCCCCGAGCCAGGCTGCGGAGCGCGAGAGCACGAGCCAGAGTGAGCGAAAACGACACCACGACCCAGGGGCCACGAAGACGAGAGAGCGAACCAGGGCCCCAGGAGACGAAGATCACGACCCATGGGGCGGAGAGAGCGAGAACGAGCCAGGGTCCGAGAGAACGACGCCACGGCCCATAGGGGCCGAGAGAACAAGGCAACGAGAAAACGAGCCAGGGTCCGAGAGAACGAGACCACGACCCATCGGGCCGAGAAAACGAGACAACGAGTCAGGGTCCGAGAGAACGAGACCACGACCCAGGGGCCGAGCAAAAAAAAACGAGGTAACGAACCAGCGCCCGAGAAAGCGAGACCACGATCCAGGGGCCGAGAAAGCGAGACCACGAACCTGCTTCCTCTTCCAAATCCTTAAATGCTCTGCGTCCAAGAGGAAAACGCAACTGCCCGTGCTGGGGCACGCGGTGCCGATGCTCCGCTCTCGCGCGGCCGCGGCCTGAGGGCACCAGGCAGGCGACATACAAACTACAAAAGGAATGCTCACGCATTCCTAACCTGAATTGGCAAAACACCAGGCTGCTCTGTCACGAGAGGGAGGCAGGTTCCAGCGCAACTGCGGCTGCCGTCTGCTTCCTCTTTGCGCAGGGAGGCGCAGGAGGAGGAGGAGGAGGAGGAGGAGGAGGGGCAAGAAGAAAAAGCATTGCGAACGAACGCCGACCAGGACAGGAGGAGGGAGGGGAGCGGCAGAGGCAGCGCAGAGCAAGCAGGAACGAGGGGGCGGACGGGGTCGTCGTCGTGGACGGGCCCAAGAAGACGAACCAGGGCCCAAGAAGACGACACCACGACCCAGGGTCCGAGAGAACGAGACCACGACCCAGGGGGCCCCAGGCATCCGCACCGCCTCGGCACGGGCGCTCGAGACGTCCGCACAACCGCGGCGTGAGTGCTCGAGACGCCCTCGCACCTTCGGCGCCGCCGCCCGAGGCATCCTCTCAGCCGCGGCGCCGCCGCTCGAGACGTCCTCACACTCGCAGGGCCGCCGCTCGAGACATCTTCGGAACCGCGTCGCTGGAGAAGGGGGGGGCACGAACCGAAAATGGGAGAATTCGCAACCAATTAGGACGGATTCGAACCATGTCGGCCTCAATCCAAGCCAATTGGTACCAATTTCAGTCGCTGTCCAAGTTTTTGACAGGTTCCCCCAAAAAATGTTCTTGGGGGGTCCGTAGAAGCTTCTCAGAGGCTTCTTTAGAAGCTCCCCAGGAGTCCCTTAGAACCTTTTGAGAAGCCCCCTAAACGCTCCTGAGAGGCTCCTCAGAAGCTCCTTAAAGGCTCCGTAGAAGCTCCCCAGAGGGTCCATAGAAATTGTTGACGCTTCGCGTATCCCCACCAGCCCATCCGGAAACCATGCCCAGGGGAGTTGAGGTGATCAGGGAAGTCGGGGAGCATGCAGAATAACAAAGGGCGGGGAACTGTCACATACCCCGAGAGGGGGAGGATGGAAGAGGAATCGTCGTCGGAGGAAGAGGAGGAGGAGGAAGGGGACGAGGAGGAGGAGGAGGATGATAATGAGGAGGATATGGAGTAGGGCGAGGACGAGGAGGACGAGAAGGAGGAGAAGGAGCAGAGGGAGGAGAAGGAGGAGAAGGAGGAGGAGGAAGAGGTGGAGGAGAAATTGAAGAGGACGGCGAACCGAAGAGACAGAAGCGTCTTAAATGCATTTCGGAGATCCTCTTGAGGCTTCTTAGGGTTCTCTGGGAAGCCTCTTGGAGGTCTCTTGGGCGCTTCTTGGGGCCTCTTGGAACCATCTTGGGGCGGTCTTGGGGCTTCTTGGAGCGCTATGGGGAGCCTTCGGGGCGCTTTTGGGGCCATCTTGGAGGGAGTCGATCAAACAAGAGGGGGGGTTTAATTAGCGTCCCCCCTCGGAAGCCCCTAAAATCGCCTCTTGGACCCCTCTTGGAACGCTCTTGGAGTGCTCTTGGGCGCTCTTGGGGCCGTCTTGGGGCTCTTTTGGGGCTCTCTTGGGGCCCTCTTGGGCCATCTTGGAGCCATCTCCAGGCCTCGGATGGCCATCGGAAGCGAAAAGGCGAGAAAGCAAAAATCATTGATTTTCCTTAGGTTTTGGGACGATTTTGGCCTCTTCGGGGCCTCCTTGGGGAGCTGTTTGGCCACTTGGAGTTATCTTGGGGCCGTCTTTGGGCTTCTTGGAACCATCTTAGGAGCCATCTCGAGCGATCTTGCGCTATCTTGAGCCATCTTGGAGCTCATCTTGGGTTCTCTGAGGCGCTCTTGGAGCCGTCTTGGGCCATCTGGGACGCTCTAACTACCCGCGGCCCCCCCCTTCCAGGTCCAGGGGAGGGGGTAGGGGGAGGGGTAAACCCCTCCCCAAGGGGGAAGAGGGAGGGGTGGAAGAGGATCTGCTCTAGACCACCTACGCCCAGAGGGCTGGTGGGACTCCTTAGAAGCTCCATACAAACTCCTGGGAGGCTCCTGAAAAGCTCCTAGAAGCCCCTTACAAACTTTGTTCGAGGCTCCTTAGAAGTTCCTTGCAGGCTCCTTAGCGTTTCCTTAAGAATGACTCCAGGCGCCTTAGAAGCTCCTCGCAGGCTCCTTAGCAGCTCCTTCCAGATTCCGTAGAGGCCCTTCAGCAGTTCTTCAGAAGCTCCTGAGAGGTTCCGTAGAACTCCTTGGGAGGTCCGTAAAGGCTCTTTAGAGGCACCTGAGAGGAATGTGTAAGGATGTTTGGCGCATGTTTGGAGAAATTGATTGTAGGAGGAGTGCCGAAGGATTTCTATAGGGGTGTTGGTGCATGTTTGAAAGATGTCCGAAGGATTTCTGAGACAACCTGGAGACTCCTGGAGGAAGACGAGAAGGAGGAGGAGGAAGAGGAGGAGGGAAGAAACAGGAAAGGAGGAAGGAAGGAACCGCCGAGGACAACGACGATGATACATCGGGTTTTCGACTTGGGTTGTTGTGAAAGTATAAGTATGCGTCGTGAAGATCTGTTTTTTTTTGTGTTGGCTATACGTTGTTGTTTTGTGGTGATATGTGTTGTTGCGAACTGCTGTAGCAAAACAACACAGCTCACATATCCCAAACAATAAACTTGTACCAGCTCCAACCGAAGCATTCATGTTGACTCCCAGAACCCTTGATACGTTCACTTGCTTTCTCTATGGCTTTTCAATGCCATACACAAGAATCCTAGGACGGCCGGATGTAATTGGTACCAGTTCTTTTTTGGGCCGGTTGACAAGTGGCCAGGTCGGTTGTAATTGGTATTGGTCGTTTGGGATTGGTCCGACATGCGGTTCGACCCCCCCTTCGGATCCGGAGAGGGCGGGGGGGAGGTTCGAACCCCCCCCCCGTTGGATCCGACGGGGGGGGGGGCCGAGGAGTTCGAACCTCGCTCCCCCCTTCCAAGCGTTCACAGAAGGCGCCCGCTCCCAAGTTCCATGGTCACAGAGAAGGAATATCAGGCGAAGCCTCCGCCCGCCATGCGGACACGTCTGGAGGTCTGACGACGAGGGGCTGCCTGTCAGGAGCAGGGACGGAGGAGGAGCAGTGGAAGCAAGGAGGTACAGGCACGCCCCGAACGCCCGTGAGGCCACCCCGCAGAGTGCCACCCCTGCGCCTTCTTCTGGAAGCCGAAGGGCTGCTCGCTGGCCGTGGACTGCGACTTCTGCCACCTGTGCCCCGCGGCGGGGGGGGGGATCGCGCGTCGACCGCCCGGGGGGGAGGAGGGCGGCGGTGGCGATCGGCGGTGTGCGACCGGTTTAGAAGGGGTCGGGGGCCAACAGTGACACGTCGATTAGTGAATTGTCCGTTTTCGGTTCTCGAGAGTTCGCCGCGGCCGTTATTTTCCAGGCTTGCGCCCGCCAGGGTTGGGCCTCAGGTCGTCTTCACTAAACCACGTTTTACTAAAGGGGGGTCTGTCCATCCCCGAAGGGGCCCGTTGTTCCCCAGGTCCTTCCATGGTTACGTCGACCGCCCAGGAGGAGGAGGACGACGGTGGCGATCGGCGGTGTACGACCAGACGCATGGAGGGTTTGGGTTTAGAAGGGGCCCGTTGTTCCCCAGGTCCTTCCATGGTTACGTCGACCGCCTAGGAGGAGGAGGACGACGGTGACGATCGGCGGTGTGCGACCGGACGCATGGAGGGTTTTTGGGTTTAGAAGGGGCCCGTTGTTCCCCAGGTCCTTCCATGGTTACGTCGACCGCCTAGGAGGAGGAGGACGACGGTGACGATCGGCGGTTTGCGACCGGACGCATGGAGGGTTTTTGGGTTTAGAAGGGGCCCGTTGTTCCCCAGGTCCTTCCATGGTTACGTCGACCGCCTAGGAGGAGGAGGACGACGGTGACGATCGGCGGTGTGCGACCGGACGCATGGAGGGTTTTTGGGTTTAGAAGGGGCCCGTTGTTCCCCAGGTCCTTCCATGGTTACGTCGACCGCCTAGGAGGAGGAGGACGACGGTGACGATCGGCGGTGTGCGACCGGACGCATGGAGGGTTTTTGGGTTTAGAAGGGGCCCGTTGTTCCCCAGGTCCTTCCATGGTTACGTCGACCGCCTAGGAGGAGGAGGACGACGGTGACGATCGGCGGTGTGCGACCGGACGCATGGAGGGTTTGGGTTTAGAAGGGGCTCGTTGTTCCCCAGGTCCTTCCGTGGTTGCTCCTCTGGCGCTCCTCGTGCACCCGAGCGCTTTTTGGACCGAGTTGGGGGCTTCGTTCTTTGTGTAGAGTTCCTTGGATTGTAGTCGTGCTGGCACCAACGGAAAAAACGTACACCGACATGGAGACGATAGAAGCCAACGAGGCATGATAAGACACGGTAGGCGCGGCACCGCCCCCTGCGGGAGCGCAGGACGAGAAGAAGCGGAGGCAGAAGGCCAAGATCGACGCCATCCGTGCCTCGCAGGGGGCGCCCAGCTGATGTCGGTGGGCCATGCCGCAGGCTCGGAGGGGGCCGCGGGCATGATGAGGAGGAGGAGGCTTTCTCGATCCCGGCGTGTTTCCTCGCTTTCGACCCATGGAGCCTTTTTATCGGGCCCTTGGGCTATCAAACATTTGACTGGGGACGAAAAGCTACCCTAGGAGAAGTGGTCAAGACCTTTGGGGCCGCGCATGGAACAAGATCACATCGCGGGATGTCCAGGGAGGGGTCCAGGCCTTCCAAAATGTGCCAGAGCAGATGCGGCCGAAGGATCAAGCCGCATTGCCGATGTACCGATGCATCGGCGTTGTGGCGCGATTCGGAGCCCGTTCTTCTCCATCTCATATTCGCCGATGCATCAGCAATGCGTGCGCGATTATCCGACACATTACATGCGGGGGAGAAAGACATAACGATGATATAGATGAGCAAGAGCAGGCGATATCCACGCTGCACGGAACATATGATATGTGTCTGCACAGCTTATCCCTCATCTAAGTGCTTTTGCAATTCTTTTCTCGAGCCGCAGGCCTTCAGGGCCAGGGGTAGCCATCATGTCTCCATCTTCGTACGAGAACTTCTGGCGGCATTGGCGGCGGGTGGGTCGCGCAAGCCCTGGCGCCTGCGGCGCCGCCGCGTGTCTGCGAGCCACGGCTCGAGTGGCCGGCCTGCTCGCGGGGTTGTGCGGCGTGCCCGGAGCGCGCGGCGGAGTGCCTGGCGGTGGCGGGCCAGAGCACGCCAGCTGGGCTCGCGGCGCCCGCGTGGCCAGCGGCCTTGGCGCCCTCTGGTGGGGGCTGGTCGCTCTCGCTGGCGTGCAGCATCGGGGGCCTGCTGCCGCTCGCGTGCCTCGCAGGCCAGGCTGACGGCCGGAGGCCGGCGGCCAGAGCGCCGCCCGAGAACGCCGCAGCGGGCGCTGGAAGCGGGCGCTCCCGGCCCCCCCCGCTCGGGCTGCCCGAGCTCGTTGCGGCGGCGCGAGCCAGCGCCTCCTCGTCGCCGTCTGTGCCTTCGGGCTCGGCTGCTGGGGACCCTTCGACGGGCGAGCCAACCCCTTGGCGTTCGCGGAGGACCCGCTGAGGGCCAGGTCGGGGTTAGCCTGGCACCAGGGCGAGAGCGCCCGACATCCACGAGACCATGGTGGCCATCAACTTCGAGGACGATCATTTTAGATGTCACCTGCTCGCCGAGGCGCATCGACTGGACGACCTGTGCTGGATCGCGTTCTCGCCCGACGCGGAGGTGCTGGTCGTCGTCATCTCCAGGCACCTCGTGGTGCCGTTCGCTCGAGCTGCTCCGTACCCAGCGCACGTGGCGCGCGACATCTACATCACCGACCAGTTCGACGAGGCGGCGCTGCAGATGGCCCGTCAGGAGGCGGCGGCTGTGGCGGCTGTGCTTTACCCAGCGGAAGCTGGGGCGGCGGGTCCCGCAGCAGCGGCCGCCGCGCTGACGATGGAGTGGAGGGTCGCGGGCACAGCGCACGACATGTTCGGGGAGATTATGCCACTCGAGATCACACGCATTGCTCTCAGGATGGTGACCAAGGGGGGCGCGGTCCTGGCCGAGATCGAGGAGCATGGGTACCGCTTCTGGACCTTTGCGGTGCAGGTCGGCGTCCAGGACGTGGTGGAGTGGCGCGAGGAGAAGACGAGTGGCCGCGGCCAGGACGCCCACACCCCCCCCATCCAGCGGGACCTCGACCGGCCCCGCTTCGCCAAGCTCAAGGATGCGCTCGCCGAGATGACCTTCCTGCTGAGCGCCGGCCAGCTGGCCAGCGCGGAGAGGTGCGCCCGCCTGCTTCTCCAGATCCACCGGGCGGTGGCCCGCTCGCCCGCGAACCCCGTCTTCCAGGGCGGCTTACTTATGGTGATGAGCTCGCTGGACTCCACCGGCGGCGTCCTCACGGAGAAGGTCGCAGGGTGCATGGCGGACGGGCAGGAGTCGCGGGCCTTCCCCCAGAAGCAGGCGAAGTTGTACCAGGAGGAGGAGGACAAGTGCAAGGGACCTGGGGACAAGGGCCCCATAGGCGGCAAAGAAAAGGACAAGTGACTGAGGCAGCCTGCTTCGGTCGCTCGGGGCTGGCGCCGACCCTGTCATCATGGTGGTCGGGGCTGGCTTTTTTCCGATACCCCTACGCCTTCCCGAGGCGGCGGAGAGCGGAGGCGGCGCCCGCCACCTGGCCCGGCGGCGGCGCCGGCAGGCTCGATCTGAAGAGTTGGTGGAAGGGGCCGCGGCGTCTCTTGACGCCCTGGCTAGCGGCTAGCTGTCAGCCGGGACGGGCACTCGTGCTCGAGTCGCCCAGCCGAGTTTCTCCCCAGAGCATCGGCGCCGCGCTGGGCGGGGTGCTCAACAACATCGGTCGCGCAGTGGCGCACTTCCTCCCCCCGCCGGACCTCAACGCCGAGTTTGCGGAGGGGGCTCTCCAGGAGATCATCAAGCGTAGGTCGATCTACGACGTGGACGACGATTGTTCCGCGGCGGCGTGCGACCCGAGCAAGCTGGCGGCCCTGCATCGGTCTGGCGATCCTGTTAATGCCCTGGACCTTGTGGTTGACGAGCGGCGTCCGTACCTCGAGGATCCCGTCTCCTTCATCGTGCTGCTGCCGGAGGGACTGGCGTCGATCGTGGACCCCGCGGTGCCGCATTGGGACCCCGAGCTCGTCGGCTCGCTGGAGGCGCGCCGGGACCTTGTGCGCCGTCTCGACCGAGTGGGCCTCATCTCGTGGAAGAGACGGGGGCGCTGCCTGGTCGGGGCTGTCTTCGTCAAACAGAAGGGCGACGCGCTCAGGCTCGTCCTGGACTGCAGGCCGACCAACCAGCACCACGGGCGGCCGCCGAAGTCCGACCTCGCCTCGCCGGGGGCGCTCTCCAACCTCGCGCTGTCGGGGGAGTGGTGCCGACTGTCGGCAGGGGGCCTCCCCGCGCGCGGCCAAGGCGCCGAGGGCGTCGACGTGCTCGACCTGTCGGGCGCGGGCATGGACCTCAAGGATGGCGTCTACCAGTTCCGCGCGGACAGCGCCGCGTCGGGGTTCCCAGGGGGCGCGTCGTCGGCGACCTTGGACATCGGTGTCGCTGAGGTTTACGATAACGTTCAGCACGCCGTCGACCCCGGAGAAGGTCACGAGCTCCTCTGGGCGCGTTTTAGAGGCTGGCCGATGGGTTGGAGCCGGACGATGTTCTTCTGCCACGGCAGCCTGGAGGCGGCGTCGCGCCGAGCTTTGCGGCGGCGGGGGGGGCCCGAAGCCGCCCTTAAGGAGTGGGGGCCTCCGCCGCTGTCCGGCAGGGCCGCCGCCCTCGTCGCCCCCCTCGTCGACAACGGCAACTTCGTCGGCGGCAGCCCCGAGGCCGCGCTCAGGCTCTTCCACGCGCTGTGCGAGGAGCTCACCTGCATCGACTTCCTGCTCCACGAGGGGGCGGGGCCCGCCTCGGACCGCGAGTCCGTCGGGCGCCAGATCCGCGGGCGGCGGCGCTGCCTCATCCCGAGGCCGCGGCGGATGCGGCGGCCGCGGCTGGCCCCTGACGAGGCTTGCCAGGTTCGGCCTATCTCGCCCGCCCAGCTGCGCAACATCATCGGCCACCTGGTGGGCCACTTCAGCGTCAGGAGGGAGCTCCTCTACTGCCTGGGCTCGGCCTACCAGATCGTGGGCGACGGGCTGGGGCCGCCGCGCGTGCTGGACACCGCCGTGGTCGTGGGGCTGCGGGTGGCGCAGGGCGTGCTGGCGCTGGCTGCGTCGGTGCTCGGGAGAGGCATCGCCACAGTGGCGTGCTGCTCGGACTCCAGCGCGCGGGGCTTCGCGTTCCACGCCAGGGACACCGACCCGCGCGAGGCCTGGGCCGCCGCCCCATAACATGAGAGGTGGAGGCTCATGGAGGCGGACCCTTCACCGCCACTCGATGATCGACGAGACGATCTGCGAGGCGCGCTGGCGCCTGGCGCCGCGGGCGCAGTGCTCACCGACGCCTTCGCAGCCTAGATCCACCACCTCGAGGCCCGAGCAGCCCTCATGGGCCTCGAGGACTTCTGCAATGATCCTGCCAACCATTCTCGCGTGCTGCTCTCGCTCGGGGACAACATGTCCGAGGTCTTTGCCGTGGGCGGCGGGCGGGCTCGCTGCGGGGAGCTGCCGGCCTTCGCGCGGAGGGCGGCCGCTCTGCAAGCAGCCGCGAACGCCCGCTGGGCCCGCCAGCGCATCGAGACGGAACGCAACCCCAGCGACTACGGCCTGCGCCTGTCGCGCCTTCGGCCGGGCGAGGAACGCCGAGGCCGAGGTGCGGAGGGCCTTGACGAAGGCCGCCTCTCTTCCGGCCGGCCGCCGAGGGCGGCGGCGCACTCCCCCGCGCTGGAGCCGCGGCCGCGACGCCGACGGCCCGGGTGGCGGAGGCGCGAGGCGAGGACCTTTCAGCCGCGGGGGCCGCGTTCGGCGCCGCCGACAGGGGCCCTCGGTTGGGGCGCCCGCCCCGGCCTGTGCGGGAGCCCAGGCCAGAGGTCCGCGCTCGGCCGGGCGTGCAGCGATGGGGGAAGGCATTCCTGGAGGTCTTCGCCGGGTGCTTGCGGCTCTCCGCTGCGGTGGCGCTCGCGGGGCTCGCCGTGGCCGTGCCGTTCGACACCGCGAACGGGGGGCAATCCAGCGTCGTCTTGCCCGCTGTGGCGGCGGCCGTCGTCGGCTGGGTCCGGAGCGGCCGCTTCTGGGCCGTGGCCCTCGGCACTCCGTGCGCCCGCTGGAGCTCTGCCCGACAGTCGGAGCCGTCGGGCAGCACCGAGAAGGACGGCCTGGAGAGTGCTCGATTCACCGCGCGGATCTTCCAGGAGTGCTTCGGTCACCAGGTGTTCGTGGTGCTGGGGAACCCCTGGTCCTCTGGCCTCTGGGGCTGGCAGCCGCTTGGGAAGCAACTTCGGCGATGCGGCGGCGAGCGCCACGAGATCCACATGTGCGCCTACGGCGCCGCCTGGAAGAAGCCCGCTGGCCTGTGCAGCAACTTCCCCAACTTTCCCGAGGCTGTCC